ATTTTTTAACTTTTAACTTTTCAATTACATTTTTTTATTAACTTAACTTTTAATTCAATTAATTTCATTATACATTAACTTGTATCTTAACTAAGTTAAATTTTCAAAGTTGTTAACTTTAACTTAACTTAGTTAAAAAAAAAAAGTAACTTACCAACCCTGGTATATATACTATATATATATATATATATCCTTCATAAGATTTAACAAAATTGCTTATGGAGGTCAGATTCTCATAGGGTCTCGTAATATCTCGTAGCAGTGAGTTTTATAATAGTTTGAAACAAGCCATCGAGGAGTGGCATGTCCCAATTCCTAGATAATTACATTGATGTAAAGATTGTACTATTTGCTTTGTCAGAAATTCGATGATTGACTAATTGTTTTACCTACCACATGTAGATATAAATTAAAAAGATAAGTATCTGTTTGCCTTTTTTTAAGTCGCTGTAGTTTTTTTTAATAGGCCTTCTACAATAAGTCATTACCTTAAGTTTTAAGTATTAAGTCATAAGAAATTGATCAATCACAATCGAATGTGAGAAGAATAATCGACTGTGAGTAGTCAGTTTCTTATGACTTAATACTTAAAACTTAGGTAATGGCTTATTGTAGAAGGCCTTATAGTTTTTGTATATAAAAGGCGTGCTTAGAACGTTCAGTAAACAATGAGGATAAAATAATGCATAATATACTCTTGACGATATACGGCCATCAAATTATAAAGGAGCATACTCATCATCCTTTCATTGACTATTTCGAAACGAAAGACGAACATGGACAATGGGAGTCACGTGTCAAAAGATTGGAATGGGATCGCACCCATTGAGCGAATTCCGACTTTACACATCTTTCGTTATAACTCAAAACTATTCAAAAGTAGGCACATTATCGATTCGCGTGACCTACATACGAAGATTCAGCTGACGACAAGCTTTGGAGAGAGCACGCGGCAAGTTGTCTAATTGTAAGTAATTGCGAAATCATTTATGTCACTTTTGACGTTTCGCGATTATTTCGTTCTGTTCGTTCGATTCGAGTGATACGGCCGGTGATTTTTCCCGCGACATCGCGGAAAATGTCGCTTAATTGTTTCTATTGAGAGTAGTGTCAAATATTCAGTACAGTTCAATTGCTATTCGAAAACGTGTACCTTGTATTATGCCAAAAGTTTATGGAAATCCAGACGCAAACAGACGCAAATGGCTGCATCCAGCAGAAAAAGCAGTTTTAATACTGCAGCTGTAAAATGTTTGAATATGATTGGTTTATATATTTAGGTCCAATGAGGAACTAAGGGCAGGGTCAATCACATTGAATTTTACAGTTGCAAAGCTGCTTTTTCTGCTGAATGCGACCAATGATGGTGGAACGCTTCCTCGATATCGCCCCGATGACGGCTCTTGACATCGAAGCAATGTCGGTGACATCATAATCGTAAACTGCCATAATCACATGAGTCAGTGTGTCACGGTGTAACGTGTCAAGTGTGTTAACAGATCATGATGGGACAGTTCAATACCATTCCTTCAAGTCCTCGTGTCATGTTCGATGAGGAGAGTGACAATGGTTTGGTACTCTGTCATAAATATCTGCCAGTCGAAATTCTGATGGAGATCTTTTGCTATGTTGACTGCAAGACTTTGATGAATTGCCAGTTGGTATGCAAACGCTGGAAGGCGCTGATGAATTACGTTTGGCACAAGAAGACTGAACGAGCGCTGGCCAAACCGTTTCCATGGAACGACAAAATCCCCTGGTCCGTATTTTATTTCGCATGCACTAAAAAGCCATATGAGAGGAACCTGCTGAGAAATCATTCCGGTGCAGAAGGCATGCATCACTGGCAATTGGGTTTCAATGATGGTGATCGTTGGAAGATTGAGGAGCCTCCCATCGGTGTGCCAGAACTGCCACAAATTGAACCAATGTTTAAAGATAGACAGATTTGTTTCACAACATCTTACCAACGTTGCTCCAAAATGCAAGAAATCTATCTGACGAGTGAAGGGATCCATCCATATATTCTAGACATTTATCAACCACCTATAGTGGTATGAAGTTTTATGTGATAAAAAGTTAAAGTTATTATAATATGTATAAAAATGGACTTTGGTAAATAGGAATAAGAGACTTATAGTGTCTTTTAGTTTTTGAACATGGCTGGATACACTACCGCGTTTCCTGATAAAGAATTGTATACAATTGTAGATTATATACATGCCATATATGTTTAGGTGAGCGAATGGTACAGCTGTCGATGGGACTGTCCAGCAAAATATCAATTGGAAGTTAAATTAATTGATATTAATAATAAAAAAATGGATAGGTTTAAATTTGAAGATATTCTAGAAGGAGAGAAACAAAATCGATGGCTGCAAGTGAGTATTCAAAATCGTGTAATAATTCATATTTTATATAATAAAAATTGAAATATAGGATGCATACAATCTTCAATTTATATTTTTCTGTATGCTTTATTGCAGGTTTCACATGTATTTGAAAACTATGGATCAGGTCTTAGAATTATCTCCTTTGAACACAGTGGGAAAGACAAATTGTATTGGGCAGGACATTATGGTAGTAAAATGGCTGGAGCATGTGTTTCTGTGAAAATTCCTCAGAATATATATTTTCACTCGCACTGCAAACAGAAACAGGTATTACAAAAGACAGAAAGATCAAATTAGAGAAGTTAGTTTATAAATGAGGGTTTTTTCTTTGCTTTTTTAATCAAAAGTTTTGTGTAACAAAAAATCATTGATTCCAATGAAATAAAATAAAAAGTGATCTGAATATATAGAATGTTAAATATTAAAAATTTTTTATAAAATATTAAACTGTAACTACTTAATAAAGAGTAATTATTCTAAGATAATATTTTTATTCCCACAGTTGTGAATTGGGTGCTTTCCAACTACAAAACACAGTGTAACACTGTGTGACACAGTGTTACACAGTGTCGACTTGTAGTGTAGCTGAAACGCTATTTAGTCACTTTATACTAGTGTTTCTAATAGGGAAAAGTATTCTGGTATATTTACTAATTCAAAAGAATATTTTGTCACCTTATTTGTTTCGTATACACTCATGCAATGTCGGAATATCATTCCTAGATAAATAAATAGTACAAAATGTAAAAATCTTGGTTATGTTGGTAGCTATGAAGAGACGACACAGTTGAACTCAGCATTTTAGCTGTGTACGATTGTGTCGACTTGTGTCATAGGGTGTTTTCCAACAACGTACACAGATGACACAGTGTAACACTGTGTCTTACACAAAGTGTTCCAACTGTGACACAGTGTTACACTGCTCGACACTGTAAAAAGCTAAGTACGAACGTGTAGAGTATGCCAGTGTTACCAATTAGAGCTCTATCGTTCCAACAAGTCCTTACACAGTGGAGCACAGTGTAACGTTTCTGTGTCCTAGCTGGAAAACAGCCATAGTTGGAAAGCATCGTGTCGTACACTATGTTACACAGTGTCTACTTGTGTCGTAGCTGGAAAGCACCTAATAATAATTTATATATAGTATGTATTGTTGTAAGATGAGTCATTTATTATTTATTCTTTAACAATTATTAAATTACATTTACTTATCACTATGTTAAGTTTAACAGAAATTTCAACATCAAATTTGTAAATCTGATGATTTGAACAATAAATACAAAAAAAGAATTTTTTTATTTATATTATCTGAGGATGACTCCAAAGTGAGTTGAAATGTTGTAAATTTGTTATTTTAATGGAATAAATTAGTAATTCACTTCTTATTTGTGTAGCAACAACGCTGTACTCTCACACGTCCTCAATCTCTTGAGTTCCTGGTTTAAATTAGGAGAATCCACAAGAAAATTGATTTTGATTTATTTTATATACAGTATTGCATATATAATGAAAATTTATTCAAGATACTCATATATTTTCTGTATACAGTGTAAGTGTTACGAGTGTAACTGGAAAGCTAATTCAATTAGATTCTGAGGTGCAGAGTCTTGATGGCATACATATAATTCCTTTGGATGAGGACTCGTATAAAGGCGTCCAATTACCCAAAAAGCTGTATTTTTCCATTCAAATAACACTCCGTGTTCTTTAACAGCAATTAAACTTTTGTTAATTACCGTTTTGTCTATATCTTGATTCAACATCTTAAATCTTACTGCATTACGTAACAATTTATGGATAACATGTACACACTTATTAAAATTAATAAGAATCTTGTTATCCTTTGATGTATTTTGAATAGGTATTGATGTTAATAGAATTCCTTCTACCATGTCCAAATGAACATAATGATACAAATAATTTTTATCACCTGCAGTTAGTTTTTTAGGTATCAAATATTCTGCTTGATTTAATAAGTTCTCTCGTATATTGGATATATCCATTGTAAGCACGTTACTATTGCTCTATAAGAAGGTATTTGATAAATATATTAGTATTTAAAACAAATACTAAGAATTTTTTTAGAGAAAGGGAGAGTTACCTTATATATATCGATATCTGAATCACTGTCATCCGAATATCTCGATGCCGAATTAATCTTCTCTCTGATTGCTCGTCTTCCAAGTATAGGCATTGCTTCGTCGCTCATTTCGCTAACACCACCTGTTCCTTGACTGAGTGAATCTTCGGACGTTTGCAAGGAATATACTAAACATGCGAGGACAAATATATTCGTAAAATAACACTCATACATATAAGAATATACATAGTATATATTGTCTTGCGTATGTGTATTGTAAAAGTGACAAACAGAATTAAGATACAAAGTATAAGAAATATTTGAATTGATTTAACTATTGAAACTTGCATTGAAACATACCAGAACCTGAGATCACGGGATTTTCTTCAGGATTTCGTTTTTTCAAGATAGAAGGCAATTCTTGCGATTTTTTACTAATAGTAAGATTGATATTTTGCTTAGACAGTGCAGTTTGCGTGTCAGATGATTTTATCAAACCAAATAGGTTTTCCGTTATACTAGATGACGCTTTTGTTGTTGTATGTTCCTCATATGGTATTACTTCGGGTCTGGTATTGGATGTAATCCATTTCGAAGCCAAGACTGTGACTCCTATTTTTTGTATATGCTTCAGTGTCTCTTGAGCCTCTTCCACATAAAATACATCTGGGCCAATCGTGTCATTGTACCTAATTAAATGATAAAACTTAAATAAAGTAATATTTTTAGACTATTCATGTAAAATAATACACACTCACTTTGCAGTGCATCCACCAGATTCCAACAGTACTGCTAATAAATCATGCCCATACCCAACAACCAATAAAAACCATTTTCCATTTGATATTAATAACTGGCTGTTATCATTGTCAATATTCCCACGATTGCAAGACGAAGGATAAATCTGTTTCCACAGAACTACGCATTTCACTTGTTCTTGGCTTACCAGATTTAATAAACCGTTATGCCTCAAGAGCGAATGTACGTCGATCAGATCTTCGTGAGGCAAATGAGATCCTAGAAGATGACTCTTGTGATAAATGCAGCTCCCTAGTATAGTATATAATCTTTGACAATCCATAGGATCTTCATTCTGTTAAATATGCATCTATTAGATTATAATCGATGTAGAATTACTTTAAAGGGTAAGCATATTCTTAATTATTTAAATATTTAAAATACAATTGATATAAGTATTGATATACCCAGTCTCTGTAATCCATAGCTTCCATCTCGCTTAATGCAGCGTCGATTTGAATTTGCGCGTCTCTCGGTAACTGTATAAAGCTTGCGACTGAAAAAGCACTTCTAAATTTATAATTCTCCATACTTTCAGTACTATTTTGTAGTTTTGCTGAATTTTTCATAATATCAATTTCTTTGCAGGAATAGTTAATATTTGTTAGTCTGTGCATAATTAGAATGAAAAAATGATCCAAAAAAGATTGGTTCTCTACAGAAGTAAAGCACTTCGTTAGTGACTGATAGGTAAATTCTAATGTTCTGACAATGTCTTCTGTAATCTTTATAATTTCCTGAGAGGTACAGCTACAAAAAAAAAATAATTAATAAAATTCACGTTAAAATAATTGCTGCATTCCTTCCAATGTATTCTGAAGTAAAATTTACCATTTGCTAGGTAAAGCTACTAAAAGTAATTCATCGTTGCGGGATGTGTAAGCAATATGCGTTTCTTCTTCGCCTATATAGACAGTTGTACTAAAAAATATATGTTATATGACGCGCACGCGCACACATACACACACACACACACACACACATATATACACACGTGTGTGTGTGTGTGTGTGTGTATATTTTTTTAAATATAATATTAATTATATGTATATAGTATACCTGAGCGGTTCTATGCCCACTATACTGGGTAATAAATGATTAAGAGTTATAAAAGCTCCCCTTGCTGTACATAGAGAAGAATGTACATTTTTAATTTCGGAGCGCGGAAACGTATACAATACGTCTTGCAACTCTTGTCCTATTTCTGAAAGATCCGCAGTTTTTAAATATATCACGCCCAATGGATAATTCAACAAAGATTCCATAAAAGAATTATTGAATTCTTTATTCACCAAATACTGGGCTAATATCGATTGCTAGAAAAGTATAATCTATAAAATTTTATCTCATACATATTACTCTTACTATCGTATTTATAATGAAAACTAATTACTTTTGGTTGATTTACTTTTGGTAACTTTGCAGTAACATCAATACCAGCTACTCTTTGTAGTTCTAATGTTACCTGTAAATGAAAAGCAAAAATATTTTCTTAAAAATTTTAAAATAGATTGGAATATTATAACAAACTTCTGAATTTATTAATCACGATTACTTATCGATTATTGCACATCTATTAAATCTTACATTTGATGGTGTAGTGATTTCGGATAGTATCCGATCTAAATTCTGAAAAGTAACATTGTTCGAATTGATGCTTCGTAACCAGTCCCCAATTTTTATATTTCTATTTCTCATAGCTTCACCATCGGGTATAAATCCGGCTACCATAACTCTCACTTTGTCTGAAAATGTACTCGAAGTAATACCGAAGTATGCTTCGCATAAGGTTGCCCTTCTTCCCAGCTTATGTCTTCTCTCAGGATCGACCCACAATGTGACCTTTCGAATTTCTCCTGCCTGATTATTATTACGGACAATTACATACATCAATAGATACAAGAAACAGATTTTATTACTTGATTTGACATTTTATTATTTGCCATGTTAAATTAATTAAATTACAGTTAAATTTTACTTTTAATTCACATGTTTTAAAAATCATTTATTTTTATACGTTTCCAAAATATGTATTATAATTTATTATTGTTTACCGAATACTTCCATTAGTACCTGAAAATCTTGAAATTTGACCTCCTTGCTTCCATCTCCTTTTTCTTGAGCAATTGCATTATTTGTCGCAGCGCTATTGTTAATCCTTTTATTTCTCGTACTCCACCGTTTGCTTTCCTTGCGTCTAATAAGACGAAACAGTTTGCCAGCTCTTGTGCTACGGCGACGTGTTAATTCGGACTGAGGGCTTTCGACGTTATTTTCCAAAGTTATGGGATTTTCAAGTAGACTTTCCTCTGCAGATTCTATATAGAATACTTCTCCGGTGGGTCCGATCTCCGATTCCCATTCAACCACAGAACTGTATTTATATTAAATCATCTTAACAAATACATCTTTTCACAAATACGCCTGATTGTTGAATTTACCTGCCGGTGTCTGAATAATATGATCCTGTGCTGGAACCACTGTCACTTGCCCACCAATCGTGATCATCCTCGTTACAGATATCTGTAGAGTATGGCTGATCTGACTGCTTGTATTTGGATTTTAGTAAAGCATTTTTGTTCTCTCCCACGCTCATATTTCGTTGAAAACTATTTTATTAAATAACTTTTATTTTATAACGTCTAGCTCTGCAAATAAGACCTAGACTAATACACGTAAATTTGTAACATCAAATATAAAATAATATATAAAATAAGTATATCATATTTTTCTACACTGATATCCTGAATATTATAACGTGTTTATCAATTGTTATTTCACTTGCATTTAGTTATTGTATAGGTAGATATGTACAGTCATGTACAGTTTAGGCAAGATCGAAGCTTATTACTTGATACTATCCGAATGCACCTGTGTAGCATACCTGAACACAAGGCTTACGCTTACCTGCTTGCTCGGAGGCAAAGGAGTGGGGATATGAGATGAGCATCTTTTTACGCTAATATATGCGTGAAAAGTAGTAAGGTTCTTAACGTATGTAATACTGAAAACAAATCATATACAGAAGATTCTTAAATATACATATTTTCTAAATTTATGAATTCCAAAAAATATAATAAAGAAAAATTTTTCTTAAAAAATTAAAATTTAACAATAAGATAATCGTGAAAAACTTATTATAAAAAAAAAATAACACCACGATTACTCAACTTACTATAAAAAATTGATTTTTATTTCTTACATTTATATAATTATCCTAGAAGCGATTGTTGCATGTAGAATCTGAATTTTTATATAATAAAAGTTAGAGACGTAATACGCTAACGCCAAGCTTGTTTGTACTTAGATTATTTAACAATATATTCTTATATCTACTTTCTTCGACAATTGTGCATGTATTTCAATTGCAATCTTGTATCTGTCAATATTAAGTATTTACTTTTGCATTTTCTTTTTTTTTTGTGTAAAATAGATCAATCAATTGATTCGATACGTCAATATTTCTATGTTCGACAACATTCGACCATGTCATTACATCTATTAATTCTTTTTTATATTATATGTCTGTATAAACCGATCGCAATCAGTTTAAAAAAATAAATACTGGAATGATTGCTAAGCAACATGCATTACATATCTTTTTTTATCGAATCGATTGTTTGAGTCTAGACGCAACTGATTTTATGTCGTTAGATTCTTTTTTTTTCTGTGGATCCACTTGGAAGCACTTCCACAATCTTAACGTTTCGTCGGCACCAGCGCTAAGCACTGTAGTTCCATCCGGAGACATGGCTAAATGTAAAACGCGACTGGTATGTCCAGTAAGTTCCGCAACCTTCGTCATCATTGGATATTTCCAAATTGTTAGCTGATTTTGCGCGTATCCGTGTCCAGAAACAATCTCTTTGTAGTTTGTAGACCATAGCAAAGCGCAGACCTGAGATTTTGTGTCTATCGTATTCAAACAGACACCTGTAACAAACAAAAAAAAATTGAAACACACATGTGACATAATTTTTTATTTTTATCACTTATTCATTTTTTTCTTATTACTATAAATTTAATATATTTTACATTATTATAATTTACAAATCTTTTTTCCCGTGACTTGCCTGAGTTACAATTCCAAAACCGAATGGTTCGATCGGCGGTGCCGCCGCCGCTCGCAAGTACATTGTTTTGCCAAGGACACCAAGCGAGCGCCTTTACAGCAGCTTGATGTTGATTGAACGAATAAATCGGTTGTGTCTGAGAATGTCTTTGCCCAGCGAATGAGGACCAGATTTGCAGCATGTTGTCATTACCACCACTCGCTAAATATTGTCCGTCAAGTGACCATTTTAAGCCACATACTTCTTGAGCATGTGCGTTTATAGTAGAGATTGAATGATTTCGGTCTCTGACATCATGATGTACTATTTTACCAGACCTTTAAAATAATTTAATATTATATAATTTTAGTCTTAATTTTAAAATCCCAATTTTACTTTTTGTTTCAATCATAAAAAAGTTAACTATTTTGCATATTAGTGCAGATTACCTGCAGCCACTTGAGAGTACATGGGAATTCCAGGAAAGAGAACCGACTCTGGATACGTGTCCGTTCATAACACGCATTCTCTTCATTTGACTGCAATCCCATAATTCTGTATTTCCTACTGTGGTACCCACTGCTAAACATGGACCTTCTTGAATCCATGCAACAGAGCATACATAATCATTTGCTTCCAATTCAAATAACTGTTCTATAGTACCACTTCCAGCGTTCCATAAATAAACATTAGCACCTAATGCTACAGCTAAGATATTATTGTTTGACCAATCCACCAAGTTTAAATCTGTAAAAATCGTTTTTTTTTTTTATTCAAATGTTTAATTCAAAATTCTTTCGTGTCTTTCATAAATAAAAAAAGCAGGTCGCTTACAATAATCATCGATAATTTCAGGTGCATCCAGTATTCTATCAGGAGCTTGTGATATGTACCTCGTAGAAGCTCTGACACTAGCTGGTGTTTTAGTTTGACTGTACAGGATCTTCAGAGGATTCTGATATCCTTCTGGTGGCGCTGGTGCTTTAATTTGATAAGATAAAACTCGTGCATTATTTATATCACCACCGTGAAGATTCTCTCCTATCAGACGCTGCATTTCTCGTTTCTTAGGACTTATTTTATCAGCTTTGTCTTTATCTTGCTCAATATTCTGTTGTTGAAGAATCTAAAGTGAAAAAAATAATGCATAAATATATACCACAAAATTATAACATACCCAAATATAAACATTTTAAAACATCCTGTAGAGAATTTTTTATGAACATATTGAGTGCACATAAAAACAATCATACACAAATTGATGTAAAGATATTTTTTGTCTGAGAACTAATTAAATTAACAAATTCTTAATATACTTTATATATATACATATATATTGTGCTGTTAATAAATAAGATATATACTTTATAATTTGAAATATTTGCATTTCACTTTCATAATCAGGTTAAATCAATAAATAATGACTTTAAAGTGTACACTAGTACATCAAACCAAATTAACTGTCAATTACAAATACTTGTTACCTTAAAATGGCTTAATTCAAAATTAGTTGTGGCTCTCGACGGAATGAATCTGTCACCACCACTGGGCGTCTTAGCTGGAGTAGTGGCTCGACCTATTATAAAAGACAATCAAAAGTTTATTTCTTACATTAATATATAAATACTAGGCATCTTACTTGGAGATTTCTTAGTACATTTGGAAGGAGTTTTCTTGGTCTTGCAGTCGCTTTTCTTCGTCGGAGTCTTTCCTGACATACTACTTGTAAAAGAGGTAATTTTCTTTGATGAGTTTAAACTGTGGTTAATGCTGAAACATGAGGTACATGTGTAAAGCGATATTTGTATTGAACAAAGCTGATGTGTTTGCATACAGATCTAATAAATTTACTCAACATTTAAAATTCATGTTAATTGATTTGTAATGTAAATTGATGGTACAAAAAATTTATCAACTGAACAATAACATAATAAACGTATTAATAATCAGATTCTCGACGAAATTCAAGTTAATTACCTTAAATTTGACGCTTCCATACATTTCTTTTGCCATCGCGGGATTGCACCTTTGATAGATTCATCCAAGCGGGTTAAATTGTCGAGTTCTTTCATGAATCTCAGGTGCGACATGACAAAAAAATACGACGTGCACGATCGATCGAAAGAAAAGTTCTAAAATAAGTAAGTCGAGGATGAAACCTGACGAATATAAAAGCGTCAGCGAGATAATAAACGCTGAGTCGTTCTTCACAAGAAACCAAAAAACATATCAAAAAACCAGTTAAAAAATTAGAACAATACTGCATCAACCGCGAATTTTAACTGATGTCTATGATTATCTAGGCATCGACCGAAGTCGATCGGTATATCACGGTATATCGACACTATCTGACACTATCAACACTGGACGCAATATCAAGAGGATATTTAAAAAGAACGTTAGATTTAAATGCCACCGGTCATTTTCTGTTTTGTTAATGCAGATGTCGCTATATGTTTCCAGATTCGCTATGAGTGTGTTCTTTAAACCATAGGTATGTTCTTTTTGACGATGGAGCCAGAGAGAAACCCTCTGATGGAGCATTCACTTTCTGTACACCCACGGTAATTGATTCTGTCCCTCGGAAATTTTCACAAAATGAAAAGTGACCTCCTTTCTATATTAATTGTCACTATTCATGCACGATAAGATTCAGCCGTAATGTTAATCGTGCATGGATTGTGACAATTAATATAGAAAGGTGGTCATTTTTTATTTTGTGAAAATTTCCGAGGGACAGAATTAATTACCGTGGGTGTACATACCTAGTGCAAGGTCACAGTAATTAATTAATTAACGGTAATTAATTCTGTCCCTCAGAAATTTTCACAAAATAAAAAATGATCACCTTTCTATATTAATTGTCACAATCCATGCACGATTAACGTTACGACTGAACCAGGAAGTAAGATATAAGAAGACTCCACTCCGTAAAATAAAAGTGGACCCATTTTAGGTTTCGAGTTCAGTTTCCGATTCTGATGAGTGCGAGTAAGAGAAATGATCATTTCTCTTACTCGCACTCATTATGCGCAGCACTACTAAATTCACGAGCGCTGCGAGTGTCGAGAATCGGAAACGGAACTCGAAACCTAAAATGGGTTCATGTCTTGTAGACTGGCGAGACCGAGTGGAGTCTCCTTATATCTTCCTTCATGGACTGAACCTTATCGTGCACGAATAGTGACAATTAATATAGAAAGGAGGTCACTTTTCATTTTGTGAAAATTTCCGAGGGACAGAATTAATTACCGTGGGTGTACATACAATAGGTTCACTCAGACTAAAATCCGCGAAATGGTTGTCACTCGCGCATGACGGAAATGCACACTCAATAATATGACGGCTTATAGGGATTCTCGTCTGTTTTCGTCTTGTGGAACACAGGTCGACACGGGTCGTCAAGGACAACAAGTCAGTTCCGACGAACCACTCAACCGTTAAGCCTTGTGTCCACGATGCTAGAAATCGATCCGAGATCTCGGATGGAGAAAGAATTAACAAATCACATTTGATCAATTTGGTCACATGACCAATGTAATTGGTCAATTTTTCCTTCATCCGAGATCTCGGACCGATTTCTAGTATCGTGGACACAAGGCTTTAGCCCGGATCCTCATACGGACAACAGCGCTTTGACACCGGACACTGATTGGTGAAAAACGGGTTATGGGGGTAAATTTTACCCTCGCCACCGGTTTCTCACCAATCAGCGTTTGGTGTCAAAGCGCTGTTGCCTGTATGAGGATCCGGGCTTACGGACGCGTTTTGGTTCGGGTGCTTTCCATTGTATATTTTTGAAAGTCTTAAACGAGGAGCACAGACTTTTGCATAACGCATAAACCATATACATAAAGAATTTGATTGGTCCATTGACTCATGCATAAGAAAATGGACCAATGAAATTCCTTATGCACATGCTTTATGCGTTATGCAAAAGTCTGTGCTCCCCGCTTTACCGACTTTGACTGTGCATCGCACCCATATATGTAATACTACTATATGGCTAATGCCTATAAGAGGGAGTGAGAGGAAGCGGTCCCAGAACCACGGTGCGGGAATATATATTTCCCTCTCTTTCTAAGAGTACTTTGAGTGTTATGCGCATGCGTTGGATTGATTGCATCCGCCAATAGGAAAATAGAGTGCGATCAGTGAGATGACGCGAACAGGTTATGCTCGTTATGCTTATTAGATGTGTGCTGTTGTACACAGGCAAAAATGGTCAAGATATGTTATTTATGTGGCAAAAAGCCTAATGCGCCTAATGCGACTGAAAACATTAGTTTGCATAGGTATGAAATAGGTATTAGTTTGCACTGATTATCATGAAATTTCTGTAAGGGATTGCACTGTATTCTTATATACATAACGACAATTTTGAAAAAGTTTATTTTATAAAATTAGGATTAATTTATTTATTCCGACTAAACTGACTCTGTTAACTGTAACAAGGTTATACCCTGAAGCGGAATCAATCACTTTTTCCTTCTTCCTTACACATATATGTATATTTATCTTTCTATTTATTATTGATGGAGGGGATGAATCCGACGCATGCGCACAACGTTCAAAGTACGCTGAGAAAGAGAGAGAAGTATATTCCCGCACCGTGGTTCTGGGACATGGACTTCTCTCTCATCTAGCCATATAGTAGTATTACATATATGATCGCACCACACAGATGCGTGTCTGCGGATGAGCTGGTCTCGATCATGATGGAAATAAACAAGGTGAGTCGTGGATGCGCAGTAGCCTAAAAGTAGTGGGGAGCAGATGCAGCCAATCATAAATGCCCCATTTGGCATAAATCCAATATGGCTGTGTTTACTGTGCATAATGGGTCATAAGTGATTGGCTGATTACACATGTCCCCCCCCCTCTTTGCCGCCATTATGCGCAACGACTCACCTTGTATATTTCCACCATGGTCTATCTCGATTGTTCGTCATTTTGCACCTTTTGACGATTAGGGCTCTCATGACGCGCGTTATTGCGACGTGACGACGCCGTAGATGCAGGCGCCCGGAGACCGGTCGAGCCATTTTCGCGGGCATTGCATCAAATATGAAGAAAAGAAGCGGATATTCGTGTGCGATATATATAGATTAGTATTCAAATTGTCCACGCTGCACACTCAACATCATGGCCGACCATTTCTCTTCAGATCAAAGGTGCCGACCACGAAGTAAGAGAGAAGGAGACCGAACTTAATAGAACGCAAGCTGAAAAAGTGGTCCTGATTCGTGACCCCTAATTGGGAGGGAATCCGCTGAAAGGAATGGATTCTTATGGTTGAGCGCCATTTGCAATTAACCTTACCCGAACAGTCCGGCCTGGCTTGCATTCACGAAGTAAGAGCGTGCTTGTATTATACGGAGAGGTTAAGACTAAAAGTTCCAAAAAATTAAAAAAGGTAAAGATTTATAAGAATTAATAGTGAATTCGATCACTTGCACTACGCTAGATTAATACGTACTAAAAGCTACTGTGCACGAAATTAGCAGAATTAAAGCATATAAATATTATAAATTAAACGATTAAATATTCAATAATATAATATAATAATGTAATATTCATTTTAATATTAAATATTCAATATTTCACCTTTTTTAATTTTTTGGAACTCT